AAAAAAAAAAAAAGTTTGGTAAAATTTCTTACAAAGTATTTATATAACTTACCAATAAGTTAACCATTGAGTATCGTTGGTTTTCTCTGCACTTTCAATGGCTTTGAAAGAAGCATAAACTATTATCAAGAGAAGAAGAAAAAAAGTAAGATGGTTTAGATAATTATCATAAACTTAAAAATACTTCTTTATACAATCATATCATTTAAAAATTATTCTTTAATATTTAAACGCTGATATATTTTAACCAATAAAATTTAATTTAATTTCACGTGACATTTCGATGATCTTTTTATATAATGAATCCGTACTGTATAATGAAGTTTTTTCTATATTAATATAAAAACAAATGCTTCACTATATCCAGAGCCGACTGTATTACGCTTATTTATTAGGCTATCCAAAAAAGGCAAGAATCATCATTATCCGTAATATCGAGAGAATTTTATTATAAGTGACATATATGGATTTTTAAAAAATATCCGCTAAATCGAATATATATGAAAATCCGTTAAATCTGTTAAATCGAGATAAAATAATTATAGAAAAATTTGGTTTTGAAAATTTATCCGTTAAACCCCTAAATCCGCTGAATCGAGGTCCGTTAAATCGAGACCCATTGTGTAATTAATACCCTCAGAAGAGGTTTATATATAGGAAAAAAATCTTTTGGCTATCAATAGCCGAAAAACCATTTAAGGAATAAAAATGATTTTTTATTAATCAGAAGTTCTTATTATAAAAAAAAATAGTGCATAATTTGCACCTCTCTATCAAGTATTGCATGCATAAATCCGGAGTCTCTACAATAAATTAATCATATGATATATACAATCCAACAATAATTAGAAATAACAATCCATTGAATTATCATCAATTATTTTTCCTTTTTCTTCATTTCCATTATTAATTATTTCTGCATTTACACATTCTAAAGCTTCTTTGTATAAATGCTCCGTATCAATATTACTCTCTAACCTAACAAAATCAACCTTGCATATCTTTTGATAAAATTCCAAGTGCTTTCGTGCTAATAATGATAAAGAACTTGGAATATCATTATGAGCATTGTTTTTATTGTTTTTAATAACATCAAATATTATTGTTTGTTCAAGGAACATTTTCATACGTTGAAGAATGTCAAAGATTTCACTGCGAACCAATCTACTTGGATCTTCAACCTATTTTGCGACATATAAACATTATTTTATTATGTTAATTGATTTATTTAATGTTGTATCATAAATTAATAAATTGCTCACCGCTGTAATAAGTAATCTATCAGCAGCCAACCAATAAAAGAATGAAGTATCTTTATCAATCAAAAATTCACTCTCATTTCCTTTTATCAATGTTGTTGGCAACAACAATGATGATGATCCATTAATTATCAAGCTTTTTTTATGATCAGGAATTGTTGATAATATCAATTCATCATTAATGTCATTGTGTTGCTTGAAATGATTCCAAACTGCTTCTAAAAATTTACATCCATTTATTCTTACATAAAAATCTGGATCTTCCATAATTTTTTCTATAACATCCGGACTAGAAATTAATATATATTTAATTGGTTATTGGATGATAATATTTCACAACAGAATTGAATAATGATACACATACTTCATGATTTCTGCATTACGATCCAACAACAACATTGAACCATATTTACGTTCTACAATAAGAGAAATCAATAATTCCATCGCTGCTCGTCTCACAAATGCCTCGCTATCCTTCATCATAAAAGGCAATTCAGATGTAATGTTTTCATGTAAATTCTTTAAGGCAAAATGTTGCCAACTACTTTGACATCTAATTATTGACTGTGATAATTGAGATGTTCGTTAATTGAAAAAAAAATACAATCTTTTAAAATTATATTAAATAAGGGCAATAATTATAAGCAATAAAATAAATACCTGAATGGTTTTTAGACAAGAAGCACGTACATATGCTTCCTCATCATTAATTTTTTCTATGACCATTTGTGGTAAATTAAAACCAATCACAAAGTCAACTCCACAACTACTTCCGTCTGCTCTTTCACTAGACTATATAAAAAAAAATTTTCTTTAACAAAAAAAAATTGTATGAATGTTATATATATCATTTTTATTACCTGATCAATTAACCTACACACAAAATTCAAAATTGAATCTCTTACTTCCCAATGAATATCACATGCTTTGAACACGATCGCATCAGCCCAATCTTTTCCATGTCTATTACTTAATATATATTTACTCATTGTTGAATTCAATATGAAACTTTGCATAGTTTCCAATAATAACATTATTCCACGACATTCAGTTTTTGAATCTAGTAATAAATTCTTTATGATCGAGAGACTCTGTAATAAATAAGATTGAGTTATATATATACATATAATATATATTAATATAAATCTAAAAGTTTTTACTTTGTTTACAGTCAATTCATCAGTGATTTGATCATTTGTGATTTTCGTGAAAATAGCAATTGGGATAATACCAAGTGCTGTTTTCAAAATACGTTGATCTGTATTATAATCTGGGTTAAATAAAATAGATATTATTGTGTCGATTGATTTCTTCGCCTACAAGATGTTTTATTTTAATACTTTAACATTTGTGATGAATATCAATTGAAATTATGTCAGTAAATTGCATACCTTAATCACTATCTGATTGTACCTGAGCATGATATTTTGAATTGTAAATAATATGCTTAAAACTAATAACTTTTGATTTGCAAAGTTTTTCCTATTATTATTAGAAAATAAAATTCTAAACTTTTTGATAATTAAACATTTATATTACTTTTATTATTATTTTTATTTTTAAAAAAAAAAATTAACATCCAACCATAACATCTATTCTTACTTTTTTATAAGTTCCATTTTCATTTAATATTCCAAAATTTTTAGGTATTAATCCTTCACCATCACATTTCATATTATTATCAATATCACCACAAACATCCTTACTATCAATATATTCATTATTGTTATTAGCAAGCCCAATTAGAAATATTAATAAGTTTATTAAATTTGATATGTATTGTTCTCTTATAGTTTTTACAACAGCTCGATCAATCAATTTTATTGATGAATTCAAAACATTTACTGCCATTGTTAACATCTCAAAATTCAAGGGGTCAGTATTAAATAATGGATAGATCATCTTATCTATAATATAATTAAATGCTTTTTTTCAAAAAAAAACATTATTATTTAAATGTTAGAAAAATTTAACCCTAAAAAAAATAATGATTCATGAATTTTTTCTTACTTTCAGAAATTGGATCTTCATTATTTATATTTAATGAATAATTTCTAAATAATAGAATTGGGTCAGGAACCCATTCAAATATTGAGCATAAAATATCATTTGTTCTAGATCTTACAATTCTATTATTGTTAATTAATAATATATTTAACCGTGTCAACTAGATTATAATTATAATATATAATATAAAATGAAATTATAAATATAATATTTATTTATATTCAACAATATATATTATAAACATACCAATTGACTTTGTACCAAGAACGCCAAGACATTATTTGATTTGGAATCAACCAATGTCCAAATTAATTGTAATACTGTCAACCTATCATCAATGCTACTATCAGAGTCATACAACATACCATTTAGTTTATTATATAAATCTAGTGAGGTTATCAAATGCTCCAATAATGAATTTTTGCTGAATGGTAAGCAATTATTATTTATAATTGATAGTAGTAGTTTACAAGATGACGCAGTAACATAAGTGCTAGTATCATTAAAACATTTAGAAACAGCTTGTGCACTTTTTCCAGATTCAAGAAGCCTGTAAATGTGAATTATGAATGTGAGAATAAAATCATAATTATAATATTAACAATAGTAGCAATAGTATTAATAATAGCAATAGTAATATTTACCAATTAGATCCTTGTTCATAAGTAACTATTTGCTGTAATGCTTCAATACATGAATATCGTGTAAGTCCCTCCTCGGCAAATGAATTTTCCAAAATAAAATCAAGTATATCGAGATATTCATTAATTAATTGATGGAATAACGAACTATTATCTTTATCATCATGTTGCAATAAGCATGCCAATAAACGAATTGACAATGCGATAATTCTATAATCTTGCTGTGGATTTTGTACTTCTTGTGGCAGGTGTTGTTGTATGATACATTTCTAAGCAATTAACATTATTTCATGTTTTCCTTTATAGTATTAATAACAATAATAATCATAAAATTTACACACACGTATTATTTCCAGTATATTCCATTCTTCAAATATTTTAATTAGTTCAGGCCCTTTTGATACATACTCTGAAAGATATGATAATACCTTTTCATGAATAGTATCATCTACTATATCCTTTGACATATTAGGTAAAGAAATTATTACATTATATAATTTCTCCATCCTTGAAATTTAAACTAGCATGCAAAATCGTGTTTGCCTGCCCCCTGTTCAATATCAGGCCCTGCTTAAAAACACAGGCGTAACAATTTGTAGAAAGAAAATTGTATATATTAATATATTAATATATAATTTGTAGACTCACATGACTCGAATGATCATTCCCTTGTACATATGCGAAAATAATTCTGGGATGGTTGTTTTTTTAATAAGATTTTTTTAAAATTCCAAATTTGTATATAAAATTTTTTCAAATTCCGATAAACAGTTTCTTTTCTTATTTCAATTTTTTAAAAAACTTTATTATAAATATATAATAATGGAATTTGATAACAATAAAAATGGTGGTGGCGGTGATGGAAGTGGTAGTGGTATTATGAATAAAACAGTTAGAATTATTAGCCGAGGTAAAATCATTTATATTAATGGTCATGGTAGTGGCACTAGTTTCATTGGTAGTAATAATAATAAGTGCGGTGGTGACAGTAACTACAACAATAGCAGCAGCAGCAGCAACAACAACAACAACAACAACAACAACAACAACAGTAATAATAATAACAACAATAATCATAATAATCAAAGAAGGTCGTTTTTTACTAGGGTTATGGTACCAAAGAAATTAAATCCAACAAGACAGAAAGCTCTTAAAGCAATCAGATCAGGAAATTATGAAGAAGCTTTAGAACATTGTGAAAAATTAATTCAGCTTCATCCCAAATCATGTACATATAGGTGTGATCGGGCTGAAGTATTTATAGGTCTTGGTAAGAAATCAAGAGCAATTGAAGATTTGGACAGAGTTCTTAATCTCAAACCAGATAAATCAAATGCTCTGTATTTACGCGGATTAACACTTTATAAGGAACTTGATTATAATGATAAAAAAGGGGCAATATATGATTTGTGTAAAGCATTAAAAATTGATCCAAATAATCCATTATTGGCACTTGAATCACATAAAATTTGTATTGAATATTTTAAACAACGCGAAGATGGTCAACTTGAATTGATTAATCATATAAATGCGGGGCTTTTACTAAAACCACAAGATGTTTGGCTACTCAGTAATCGTGCTTCAATATATTATCAAAGTCAATTATTCCCAAGAGCAATTGATGATTTAAATGTTGTTTTATCAATAGAACCCAATAATATTGAAGCTTTACAATTTAGAGCCAATGTTCATAAGAAAATATCTGATTATGAAAAATCATTTGATGATATCAGTAAAGCTATACAACTCTCACCTGAAACCCCTTCACTTTTATTAAAAAGAGCAAAATTGTTTAAATTAAAAAAAGAATTTGAAAAATCATTGAATGATTTAGAACAATTAAGTAATCTATTATCAAATCCTAAATCTACCATTGCTGCATCTCTATTTAGTAATCGTGGTCAAGTATATCAAGGATTATTTAGATATAAAGAGGCATCAAATGATTATACAAGAGCATTAAATTTGAAACCCAAATCATCAACATATAGAAGACGTGCAGAAATTTACCAGATTTTACGACAATACCAAGATGCATTAGAAGATGCTAAATCTGCAATGAAAATTGATAAGGATGATATTAAAGCTGCCACACTTATCAATCAACTCTATACACAATTAAATAGGCATGACGAGGCATTAAATTTATTGGATAATTCATTAAGCAAATCTCCAAATGATGCTATAAAGTTATCTGAAAGAGGAACAGTCTATAAAGCTTTGAAAAGGTATGATGAGGCATTGAATGATTTGAATAAAGCATTATCAATTGATGCAAAAAATATTCCCGCATATCTTTCTAGAGCCAAAATTTACAGAGAACAAAAAGACTATGCTAAATCATTGTCAGATATAACATCAGCCATTAAACTGGATTTGAAAAATTCCAAACTGATAAGAAATCGTGGGAAAATATATACATTAAGTGAAAAATATGATGAAGCAATGCTAGATTTAGATAAATCAATCTCAACTGAGCCAAATAATCCTTCAAGTTATCGATACCGAGGCAAAGCTTTTTCAAAAATAAACAAGTATGAAGAAGCAATGAAAGATTTTGATAAGGTGATGAAATTGAAACCAAATGATCCAAATGCTCTACATGATAGAAGCGAAACATTATATAAGATGAATAAATTTAATGAAGCTTTAAGTGACATCAATAAATCTTTGGAATTAGATGAGAATACAAATTCATATGAATTAAGAGCTTCAATTTATGAGAAACTTGGTGATCATAAGAATGTTATATTGGATTTAAGTAAAGTGTTCAAAGTAAATCCTAAAGATAAAGGTGTATTGTTTCGTAGAGCAAAAATTTATGAGTCACAAGGACAATATTATGATGCATTAAATGATTGGAGCCAATTGGTGAAATTAGAATCCAAGAATTTGGAATATTTGAAGGATCGGGCTAGATTGTTATTGACATTATGTAGATATGAAGATGCAATTAAAGATTATGATGAAATCTTAAAACTTCAACCAGGAAATCAAATTATCATTTGCAAAAGGTTGGAAATTTATCAATATTTTAATAAGACAGATGAAGCAATTGAAGAATTGACAAAACTAATTGATAGCACAATAGATAAAGAATTATTTTGTGTTACAAGAGGAGTTCTTTATTATTCTAAAGGAAATCAAGAAGCAGCATTGGAAGATTTTGATAAGGTATTAGGATTAGGAAAGGCAAAACCAAAGGAACAAATTACATATACAAAAGACCAGCTTAAGGCATTATGTTATCGTGGATGTATTAATCACTCATTGATAGATTTGAATGTAGTGTTAGAAAATGAACCTGATAACATTTTAGCATTATGTGAACGAAGTTCTATTTACAGAGATCGTAATGATCATGATGGAGCTTGGAAAGATTTAAAAACCGTTTTAAACAATGAACTTAATCCCTCTAGTCAGTATATACTTGTCAATTAACAATCTATTTATTAAATGGATATTATCTGTTATATATATTATATATTATATAAACATGTGCATGTGCATATGTATGATGAGTTATGTATATTGTTGTATAGATATCTGTTAGTTATAGTTGTATATTTATATATTAGTAAATTTATTAATAAATGAAATTATGATGGCTGTGAGTCAAAATCAAATAGTGTGGATTTGATTTGAAATTTATCTTTTAAACCAAGAATAAAGGCTAATAATACTGCACAAAGCTTGAAATGTAGCTCCCATATAGCCCTTAAAAAGCAACTTGATCATTTAATTATATTTTATTATATTATAGCAAGCCATAATAAAATTTTTAGAGCCAGATTGGGACTTTTAACAGCAATTAAAAGAAATGGCTAGCCTAAATATTGGTTATTCTACGCCAGGTCGGAAGTGTTTCTTTTCTTCACACTTATTTTAAGATTATCACTCAACTAGTATGCATACTAAAGCAAATTCAGCAGCAACAGTTGTGCCAAAGTGTTCCCTACAAAGTCGCTTATAACCACTTGGAAGGTTGTGTTAGAAAATTTTTGCTTTTAATTATAAGGGACTGATTTATAGTTATTTATTTGGTCATTTTATCCAATTTAAATATTTGTAAATTTAGATAAAGGCAAATTTAGAGCATATTAATTGATAGTCTGAAACTAGAAGTTTGTTCTATATTCCTATGGTTACTATTAATAAGAAATTTTGTAAAGTTGGTTAACAAAATCACTCTTTTTTAAACTAACATATTTGAGATCCAGAACTTACTGTGAAAGATCTTAGTTAATCTGAAATTAAAGGTTTTATTTTATCTATTCTTCCGATAGTATTATTAAAAAGAATTTTTGTGTAAAGTTACAAGGCTATTCCCCTTTTTTAACTCGTTGATTTTTTTGAAATCTTGGACCCAGTGACCCAGCTTTTAGAATATTGTTGAGTAAGTTCAGCAAATAAACAGTATAAGGTGTTAAGAGTTGGTTTTTGTGTTTTATCCAAAAAAATTATTTAAAAAAACAAATTCCTAATGCATAACTTTCTTTGATTTTAGAAAATTGAATAATATTTATTTGATTATTATAATTTGGATTTTTAAAAAAATTTTTTTTTGTTTACATGTTATGGATGCATCACGTAAACTCTATGATTCATATATATGAATTGATCGACGAGGGGGTTCGAATTTTTCCAGAATCGATTTCCATATTGGGTAAATACCTGACTGTAATAAAATTAAAAAACTCTCTGTCAGCACGTTTACCATCACATTTATTTACAATCTCTCTTAATTTCATAGTTGTATCTTTTTTTTGAAGGAGGAGATACAATCGGTTTTTTTATATTTATTGAAAAAAGTTTATTAGTAAATTTTATATATTAACTAGTTTTGATCTACATAGGCCATGTTACCCCCAATTGAATGCCCCAGTAACACATCACGTTGGGAGTAACATAGTAAATTTGTTAAACTTGTGCAACTTTGAGGCTTAATTCCTCCACATGACATATCAAGATGCAACTTTGTAGAGAAAGGTCTTAACTTCAAAATTATATCTTGTTTTTTTGGTCACACAAGACCAATAAAAATTGTAGGGACTAGATGTCTTGCACTGTTAATTTCTTGGTAATACAAATTAAAATTTTTAATATTAATTATTAAATTTTCTATTATGTTATTGTTGTAAACAGTGATGTATACCTGGAGTTAGTGCTTCATCTATTAAAATGGGTTGTCCATCAGAATCAATCTCAAACTCAAGTTTGGTGTCTGCAGTAATGATTCCTTACTCAAAGCATAAAGTTTAGCCTATAAATATATAAATATAAATAATTGGTTATCTATATAAGCTTTTAAAATAATCAATAAATTAACCTTTGAATATAACTTTTATTTGCATATTTCTCATCAACAATTTTACCAATTAAATTAAAAATCAACATGTTAATTGATTAATTTAAAATAACTTTATTATGAATATTTTCCTAATAAAAAAAAGTTTTTTTTTAAGAAAACTCACCATGATGCCCAATCTCTACTTTTGTATAAAGGTTTATCAAAATTTTGACATTATTTTAAATTTTTAGAAAGTTCAATGTCACATATACTGCCTTTTCTTTTATATTCTATCCTTAAAAATTAAATTATTATTATTTCTATGATAAATTATAACTTTTATTATTGCTATAGCTTCAATAGATGAGACCTCGCATTTTTTTTGGTTTTCTAACCGATCTGGCATTTTACTGAATTCTGATGTTATTTATAACATCTTTTAGAAATCCTTGTTGCTTCGTGTGGTGTTTTCTTTTCAAGATTTATTTTAAATTTTATTTTATTTTTTAAACAATAATGATGATAATTTTTCAAAATGCACTTTATCAGTTGCAACAAAAAGTAAAATTTTTCATACAAATCTTATTTTCCAAAAAATGCAACAGTAGTCATTTATTTCGTGTAGATTGGGTAGAGAAATACTGCAGATAATTAAATATGCATGAATAATTTAAAATCAGATCATATACATAAAAAGAAAAGTTTTTCTATGTTCAAATCACCTTTAAAAAATGAATAATCATGGAATTGTTCTTTTTTTTTAATATAATGAACATAATGAACATATGAAAATCAAAACAAATTAATTTTTTTCGCATGAAAATCAAATGAATAGAGATCAAAATAAATGTTCTAATAAAAATTTTCAAAATTTAAAAAAAAAAATATAAAAAGAACAATTTTATTTTTTAAAAAATCTTTTATACCAGAATTTTATTCTATCCTGAACTTTAAAATCATATTTATCAATTAAATAATTTAAATATTAGAAAACAAACAGTTAATAGTAAGTAAGTTAAATTATTATCCACGTGTACGAAAACAAATGTTGTGTTGCATTTTAAGATAACTTTTTTAACAAATAACCATTTAACGAATAAAAATCTTTATTTTTTATTCGAAAAAAAAAACGGTAGATTCTACTTATCAACATCGTTATTGTTACAATTCTACTCAATTAACAACTATTAGTAAAGTTTATTTAGTAATATCTCTTCTTTCCACTTTACCAACTCAATTGCTCCAATCTTCTTTAATCATGTTACCGTTAGTTGGTATATTTGGTCAAAATCAACAATTATCCCAACAATCAGATTCTGTAACAACACAAGCAGTTCCAATACAGCAACAACAACTAACTCATAATAATAAACATACTCAACCTAGGACTCAGCAAAAACAATCCACAAATTTTAATTCAACTTACAATGTTCTTGATAATACTAGCGATAATATAAACATGAATAATTATGATTATGGGGATAATAATAATAACAATACCTCTATTATTCAATCAAACCAAATGCCTCAGCCTATTCGTAGAAAAAAACCATCAAACAGAATGAATAGAAAGAAAATCGATCAAGCTATTGCCTTTTCTGCTTTTGCTGTCGAAGAAGATCATCAAGGAAATCATGAATGTGCGCTAGATCTTTATCTCACTGCTTTAGAGAATATGTTGGAAGCTATGCCAAGTAATAATAATTTTTAATTAATTTTGAAAAAAATTATTTATTTATTTAGTTAATCAATTAATCAATCAATCAATTTTATTAATTTTTATTTTATTAATTAAAATTATAAAAGTTCACGCCGATCAATCAAGAAAAGATGCATTAAAAACTAAATTACGAGACTTTATTGATCGTGCCGGATTATCTGAAGAGATGATCAGTGAGTCATCAGATTCAAAGAATCCAAATCTTTATCAAAATAATTATCATAAATCTTGCTGTGTTGATTCTGACTCTTTTAATAAATATCACTCATCAAATTGTAATAACAACAACATCAACAATGATGATCATCACAGTAACGACATTAATAATGCTGGAATATCAGATCATATAATCCAAGCTGCTATTACTGGCGCAGTTGCTTTAAAACAATCACCAATACCTGATGCCATCACTGCTACTGTAAATTATACAATGAAAAAAATCAAAAATATCGATGAAACTTATGGCTTACAGGATAAAGCTTGGGAAATTTCAAGATCTGGTATAAATTTGGCTTTTGAGATTGATCAACAATATAATGTTCATGAAAAAGTTGGTAACGTTCTATTCACTGGTATAGCTGCTGCTATGAAAGCTGGCATTGCTTATAAAGATTCTCCCTCATATAAACAAATAAAACAATTGAAAACTGAATATCAGGCTGCTGGTAATAACAATAACAATAGCAACAACAATAATATAGATTATTATGATAAATAGTATTAAATATATATATTATCATTTGATTAATTACTGGAAAAAATTTTTTTTTTTTGTAATTCTCTTTTGGTTAGAATCTGTAATACAAAAATTATTCACATAAATTACTATATACATTGAATAATAATAATAATAATAATAATAATAATAATAATAATAATAAATTTATTTTAAAAAATACAACAATTTAGTAATGTTTTTTTATTAATATTGTTTCCTTATTTACATAAAAAATTCTTCTATGTATTGATATATATATATTCTATCAAAAATAAATAAAAAATATTTAATTTATATTTGTTTATAAAATTCCTGTTAATTAATCTCTATCTATTTCAGCTTGATTATAAATTGCATAAATTAATTTTCTTTTTAATTCTGCTTCTTCATTATTTGGTGGAACTATAATACAATTATGACATGTTCTACCAACAGGATAATAATGTGCTTCCTCAATCGGAAATGCATCAAGATTAAGCCCCAATACTTCCCATCCACCAATTGGAAGTCTTGTACAACCAGTTGCAAATCTTAACAATTTCCTACGATCTTTCTTATCAAGATTACTCATAATCCTTAATATCATCGTATAATCCTTATCACTTATTGGTGATTGATTTTTCTTTTGAACATACTTTTGTAGTGTATTTAATGTCCAATCTTCCTTGGTTTTACCACAAAAGAAATAAGTAAACTCGGTTGGTGTCGGTGCTAAATATTTAAGATATTTAAATGGAAACAAATGTTCAAATCCTAATTTATACCAATTTATTTGTCTATTTATCCCTGTATTAAAAAAATACTCTATAAAAATATTTTGATATTTTGCTACTGTTTTACCAGTTTCCTCCTCCTCAAAGTTAATCTCATTAAATGCTGGTGGTGATGGTATATAAAAATCTGGCCAATCATCTGTTGATTTAAATTTTTTTAATTCTCTAACCAATGGCTCATACAACCCTTCTATTTCATCAATACCATAATCATATTTTATATTTTCGTTTAAATCTTTCAATAATAGTGTTAAAAATATTTTGCTCATATTTAAATCCACTATACAATTATTAAATATACCAACTGATGTAAGTGTACCCAATAATTTAAAATTATTTAAAAGTTTACTATATTCATCATCATTATCATCATCATTAAAATCATTGCCATTACTTTCTTTGTCATCATCTCCTTCTATATGTTTATTAAGTTCTCCTTCATCTCCAATTAATACAGGATATAATCCTGATTTATATGGTTGTACAAATTCCCCTTCACATACTACCGAGTTATTATTAATCCACATTCTTTTATTTTTCTTGAAAAATTCCTCTGACAAAATAGTAAAGAAATCACGAGTAACTCCAAGGCCTACTCCTCCTAATCCTCTAAATTTGATTTTAAGTTTGTTTGAAAGACTGGTCACCTTTTCAAGTCGTTTTAATGCCCAATCAAACACTTTATCACGTGTTTGTATTTCTTTGTCTTTCCAAATTGGTAACATTCTTTTAATCATATTAAATTCCTTTTTAGAAAATCCAGATATATCTTGATCTCGCTCATTATACATACGTATACCAAAAACTTGTGCCTTAAATAATTTGAATTGATTCCTTCCTGAAACTAAGAATCGATAGTTATGAAAAACAGAATATACCCAAATTGGATATATTCCTGTCAAAATTGCTATTGGCTCTTTTAATTTTTTATTTAAAAGCTCCTCCATATTTTTAAATAAAAATAAATTGCTCTGATAACTTTCATCTTCAATTGTATTAGTGTACAACCAGTGTAATTGTTTTAAAAGTTCCAATGTTGACTTGTTTTTTTCAATAACTTTGCAATCAAGTTTAGGTGGTAAATTTGGGTCTACAACATATGGTTCACTTGAATATTTTAACTCTATCTCATATTGTTGATCCAAGTCCCATTTGGAATCAGCTGTAATATACCAATGAATAGCTGCATAAATTGTCATATCAAGTGGAATACGTTGATCTCCAATATAAAATTGCCAATGTGTTTCCTTATAGGAAAAAAAATCATTGTCTTGGTGTTGACTGTTTGATGACAATGATGAAATGGTACTTGTGGCATCATCATCATCATCATCATCATCATCATCATCATCATCATCATCATCATCATCATCATCATCGTGAAACTCTGCTGGTCCATCATAAAATATATTATTTTCATCTAACCCTTCATTATAGAATAAATCCTCAGCGTGTTCGATAATATCAAATTCTTCATCAAAATACTCACCATTATCATCAACATGATCATCAATTTCCTCATTATAATTTCTCTCGCCGTTTTCAATACCATCATCACCATTTTCAATATCAACTTCATGTTCATCTTCAACTGTGTCAATGTCATTTGTTTCTTGTTCATAATCATTATTATTATTTAGTTCCTCATTATTGTCTCCTTGCGAAATAGAAAGTTCTAACCTATTCTGTTCTGCAAATAATTCATCAAGTTCTTCACGTTCATCCTCATCCTCATCAAGATCAAAGTTTTGTCGCCTACTAGTATATGAGTCACTTAAACCATCTTCATCCTCATCTTCATCTTCTCCTAGTATATTATTGGGTTGTTGTTGCTGCTCCTGCCGCCGTCGCCTCCGCTGTTGTAAATGTAGCAGTTGTTGACGTCTATTAAAAATTTCTTCTGACGAATCAACATCATCATCAACATCAACATCATCATCATCATCAACATCATCATCATCATCATCGTCATCATCATCTATTTGTTCTTGTACTGTAAATGGACCTCTTAAGTTTCTTATATCATTATTTCTCATCATAATATTTGTCCCAATGTCACTAAGACAATTATTATTATCATCAAGTTTTATTCTATTGGCCAATTCTCTAAATCTAGTAAATAATTTTGTCGTGATTTTAAGTTCTTTGTCTCCTTGATATTTTATTCTTAATTTAACATTTCCACAAATCATCATTTTAATGCCTGGTCTAGAAAAACTTGTGGATTGTGGTGGTGTGAATTCTAGTACATTATTATCAGATTTAAAAGGCTGATAAATGTTTGACAACATTTCCGAATATATTTTGTCTTCATTTTCTACTTCTTTGTCAACAACAACATCATCATCATCAACAACAATATCATAATTATAATTATAATCATCCTTATCAACATCATTGGTGTCGTCATCTTGTTCTAATTTATCCACTGAAAAATCAATATAGTTATAAAAATTCTCTCTCTCCATAAAATATAACAATGCTATTACAATTTTTTTGAAAGGTGCTTTCCACACATCAGATTCATTTAAAGGTTTAATAAATATTTTTGTAAATATGTATTGATTTTTAGGATTTTTAAGACAGTAAGATAACTTTTCAAAAAAATGAAGTTCTTTTAGACTCAGATATGATACATTTGTATCCAAAAGAAAACGATACAAGTTTACTAGTTTGTTTTCAAAATCTGTAGTAAGTTCATTTACAATTTTTTCTAATTCACTTTTCTTAAATATAATACAGCTAACCGGTTTTAGATGTTGCTTTTTCTGCTGTTGCATCCTCTTAGAAGGACTTGTTGTTGATGATGGTGCAGCAGTTGCAAGCTTGCTGCTGCTAGTACTGCTGGAACTACCATTATTATTATTGCTACCACCAGCATTTTGTCCACGAGTTCTTTGATTATTGTTACTGGATCTTCTACGATTTGGAGTGTTATTGTCTAGATTACTTCTTCTAAAATTATCTCTATAATCTGGGTTGGTTTTTCGAGTTCTTAGGCCATAACGTTGATTATTATTGTTGCTCATCTTTGATTAATTTATAAGTAAAAAACTGTTATACATGTTAAACACAATTCATTCATCACGCTATGACAAAACCGAATGCCTCGTGACATGTCAGTATAATGAAAGAACCAATCAAAATCATTCTGAAACGTAAGTTTTTAATTTCCAGATATATTAAATGGATCAATTAGTTAATCACAACATAGTAATAGTGGACATTTGATTTCATTGGCTAATTTTATATAATAATTTTTCATTGTTCGTGTTAACAAAGTGGTTTCTTTAATTAATCTTTTTAACAAGGCAATGGTTTTCCCATTTTTTAACAAGGTGAATTTTTTTTATTTGCATTTCTAACAAGGTAATGGTTTTTTTTGTTTTTTAACAACACAAAATAAAAAAATCATTTATAATAAAAAGACAAGCAAATTCATAAAATTAAATTGAAAAAAAAAAAAAAGTTACAATGACCATAAACCAAATATTTAAATAATTTAAAATGCCAAAACCTAAAAATCATGGCCCATGTGTTCTTGAAGGTTGTGAATCTCATGGTCCATTTAGAAAATTCACTGAAGCTGCTAAATGCAGTTCTATAATAAATAAAACATATGAAACTTACAGTGTGATTCAAAAAAAATGGTGTTCACAAAAATATTACATAATTCAACAATTACATAACATAATTAAATAAAAATATATTCATTTGAAAGCTGATATTCTATTTTATTAAATAATAAGAA